CCATCTTGCTGGCCAACCTCCCTATACTTCTTATCTGCCTTCTTGGCTTTATTTTTATCCATAGCATTTAATAATATCTGACCTACCACATATTTTACTTGTTTGTATTTATTATATGATTTCCCACTCACATGTAAGCTCATGAGATAAGGATTTCCATCTCTTTTGTTTACTGCTTTATCCCAAATGCATAGAATAAAGTGTAGCACAAACTAACTCATCTCACTGTTGTCGAGTCAGATCTGACTCATAGAGACCCCTCCTTGGGTTTCTGAGACAGTATCACTACAGAAGTAGATTGCCCAATGCTCCTTCTGAGGAGTGGCTGGTGGGTTTGAACCGCCAACCTTCTGGTTAGCAGTCAAATGCCTTAGGCACTATGCCACCAGAGCACAAACTAGGTAGTCTATAAATATTTCTTGAATGACTGAACTAATAAACACTAATAAACAAATGTTGAATGAATAAGTCTGGGAAGTAACAATATATAGTAAGACCTGTGAAAGCTGGAACCTGTATAAGGTGGAAACCTGTCAGCAAAGGAAAACTAAAATATTTCCCACTAATAGAGAGCAGTAGAAAAATGCTAGGACTGCACCTGTTGAAGGCAGAAAGCTTGCAAGACCCAGAAAAACAATGTAGTCCTGTTGAGTTCTTGCTCTCACAGGATTTACTGTATAATATATTATATATTATTTTTTTTAATGAAAATATTATTTTATTGTGCTTTTGGTAAAACTTTACACAGCAAATTGGTTCCTATTTAACAATTTCTACACAATTTGTTCGATTTGACATTGGTTACATTTTTAGTGCGTCAGCTTTCTCATTTCCGTTTGGGTGGTTCTGTTTCCACTAATAAGCTTTCCCCCTTCGCCCTCTCATCTTTGTTTTTGAGTAAATACTGCCATTTGGTCTCACATGTATGATTTTTTTTTAAGTAGCACGGTACTCACAGATGATATTATTTATTTCATGCTCTACATTCTATTGTTTGGCTGAAAGATGACCTCAAGAAATGCTTTTGGTTCAAGGTTTAAAGAGTATCCCAGGATGATAGTCTCAGGGAGTCCTCAACAGGTCCAGTAAGCCTGGGCTTTTAAGAATTTGCATTCTGTTCCATATTTTGCTCCCATTCTGTCAAGATCAATCTTCAGGTAGTCCCCAACTTATGATGGGGTTCATTCCAGTGGCTTTAGCATAAGTAAGTTCTGACGTAAGTTGAATACCTTCTTTTTTTTTTTTTTCAGTTTTCATTGTTGTTGCCTTTTATTATCAGTATCTTTACAAATCTGATCTTTGTCTTTGGGAGTTAGAAACATTACATATAGACTTACAGATATATTTTAATACATACATACATACATAAAATAATACACAAATCATAAAAGATGAAGAAGAGTTAGAGGATGTTGGCATTTTGTCAGTTGCGATAATAACTTCATTTGTGGAAGGTTCTGGATCATCTGGATTATCCCTAGGAATGGAGATGACATTTCTAGTCAGAAAATTAGTGAGAGTCGACTGTATAATTTTTCTTTTTTTCTTCATATATTTCATGGTAACTTCTCACTGCAGGAAGCATTCTTAATCTGCCTGTCAACTTTAGCAAAGCAACCAGAGTTTGGGTTGGGTCCATGTTTTCAAGCAACACAAGCCCTTGATTTTGTTTGGAAAGCTAAATCTATATGGCAGTGTTTTGAACAATAAATCGTAAAATTGAATATCTGCCAGTGAACATCTGAGAATGATAACATCCACAAATTACATGTTGCAACATTGTATATAGTACATATTACTAATGATAAGGTGTACAAAAAAGAAAACAAAAAATAAACAGTTTTAAGTGTGCATTGTCGTAACTTGAATATATCATAAGTCAAGGATTACCTGTATTATGTTCCTGATCGGAAGGTTGGCGTTGGTAGTTAGGCACTATCTAGTTTTTCTTGTGACAGGTAGATGAAGTCATGGTTCATACACGTTATTAGTCCTTTGGACTGATTTCTTTTTTGAGTCTTTGGTTTCCTTCTTTCTCTTTCACTCTGGATGTGTAGAGACCAATAGTTGTATCTTAGATGGTTGCCGCTTGCAAGCTTTTAGAACCCAGATGCTATGCACCGAACTAGGATGTAGAACATAAACTTTATGTACTATATTATGCCAGTTGACTGAGCTGACCCATGAGATGATGGTCCTAAGCCTTAATATCCAAAAACCAATCCTGCAAGGTGTTTGGGTAAGTGTAAGAAGTATCTGTGTTAGTACCCCCATGTACTTTATTGTTTATATGAATATATAGGGATGCATTGCTCTTACATGTATATACCTGGATATGGTTATATCTATATATGACCACGTCTCTCCACACATGTGCATACCTATACACATGCATGTATACATATATACACATGTAACCACACTCCTATTTTCTAGCTGTTGCACAGCTGTATACATCATAGCATTTACCAAAAATGTCCTTTTTTCTTTCTTCTTAGTGATATCATTTACTTTGATGCACTTTGTGCACCCTTCACCCACATATGGTTAAATGTTCATATATATATATACTATATATTCCTCCTGGAGAAATCCTGCAGTGAAACAATGCCCTATTTCCCCAAATTTTTAAAATCACAGAACTCTTTTTTCGAATATCAGCTAAGGAATAGTCTTTGGGGAATCCTACCACATGACAAATTGATCAAAATCTGGTTATCAGCAAAACAACTTGAGATGACAACTTGATGTTCTCCAGTGGCTCTACTACATGGTGATTTAACAACCATTGTGCTGAAGAAATTATTACTACCATTGTGAACTTTCTGGTGTCCTTGATGGTGGCTTTTGTGCACAGAAAAGATCACTCAGAAGCTAGATTTTTTTAAAACGAACATTTGATTCATTAAAATGTTACATGTTTTTCCTTAAGCTTTAAGTACATTTATAAGTCTAACAAATTTTATAGGAGCTTTTATAACATGGCTAACTAAATTCCCTTAAACATTTTGAGCTATATTTATAAATTTAGTATATTCCTTTTAAGAACTTTATCTTATTACCAAGCAAAATCTTCCCAATTACCTAAACATCTTTTGTAGGTTTAATAAATTATGCTTATTAGTATAGTTAGTCTTAGGTATCTTAAATGTTCAAATAATGTTTATAAATTTAGTTAGAAACCTAAAAATTGCAGGTCTAATCATTTAATCAATCAAAGACTAATCTGTTATTATACAAGGCTTAATTCTCTTACCTTAAAAGTTCTCAGAACACCAAAGATGCACAATTCCCAAATTTAATACAAAAATAGTAGTCTGTGGGTTTGATTTGTGTCTCTATTTATTTTTAAATCTCCCTAGACTTAAAAACACTATTTCTATACTTAATTCTAAATTGTCCTTACTTCCACAAAGAAAGCAATTATGTTACTCCAAATAATTTAGGGTACTCTCCCAGGTAAATTTTGGGGTTATCTTTTCAACTAATTGAGGTTGCATATCAACTGGAAATTTTATCTGGGAGATCTATAGCTAACTGCATTCAGAGTGATTTTTCTCAAGATAAAGAGGGACACGTAAATCTCTTTTTAATAGTTGTTAGGCCTATAACCAAAGAGCTCTGGTGGTGCAGTGGTTAAGTGCTTGGTTGTTAACCAAAAGGACAGTGGTTCAAACCCACCAGCCATTCTGCTTTGAAAAAGGTATGGCAGTCTGCTTCTGCAAAGACTTACAGCCCTGGAAACCATATGGGGCAGTTCTACTCTGTTCTATAGGGTCACCATCAGTCAGCATCAACTTGAGGGAATTGGGTTTGGTTTTTGATTTCTGACTTAGCCACCTTATATTAAAAAAAAAGACAACTCACCATCATCGAGTCAATTTTGACTCATAGTAACCACCATTGGGTTTCTAAGGCTATAAATCTTTTCGGAAGTAGGTTGCCTCATCTTCCTCCTGTAGAACAGCTGGTGGGTTTAGAACCAACAACCTTCTGGTTACCCAAATGCCTTATCCACTATGCCACCAGAGCTCCTACAGCTAGGCCAATAGGATCTTCAAATGCATGCCCTCTAAATGGAGTGGTTTCTCAGTCCATGATCTTCAGATTTAAGTTACTCAGGTCAGTATCTTGATTTTTCTTCTCCTTATTGAAGTCTACAACCCTCTCTAAGTTTGTGGATAACTTCCAACATTGCTTTGATTGATATTTAAATTGCTCTCTTATATAAATTTTATGGCTTTCTATTGGATTTTCTGTATCTCTTTAAAGGCTTTGTTTGATATGTGATCATGTCTCAAAAGTCATGCTAAAGAAAACTACAGAAGTGTTAAAGTACTCCTACCAGGTCTTAGCACAGTTAACACAATTAATATTTGTTTAATGAATGATATTGTGATTTAAATTTAGGTCTTTTCCTATAAAGAACATTAAATATACTAAAACACCAGTCCAATTAAATATATGCTATTAAAATCTGACAGTTGTTCTTCTAGCTACAAGCATTACCTGTAACATGCTTTGAATATTTTCATATTCTCACCTGTTCATCTAGAATTAGATTTATGTGAGATAAGCCAATTATAGTGGCAATCACTGGCTTCTCCTAATATCTGGTTTTTATATGTTTTGCAGTATATTTTAAAAAATAGATATTTAGTTGATTTCTGGAGCCATAGTCCCAGCACAATATTAAAGGCCCAATTAATAAGTAAGACCATTTATTCAAACTCCAATTCTAAGAATAGTGAGACATAAGGCCTCCGTAATCTGTTTCCTGTTGATACCTGAAAGCAGTAACAGCAGGGCCTATACACTGTTTTACTGGTTTACTTGCTTATACACAGTAGAACCTATGATCTGAACAGGTGAGGTGCCATTTGTTCAGCCAAGAATTCCCTGTACATGTTAGATGGATGCCTGGGTAGGTGGGTACTCAGCGTTGCCCTTTCTTGCTGTCTCTTTTCTGTGCCTGTTACTAATGCCTACTTTCTTTCTAGTAAGTTGCTAGGAGGTGGGATTGAAAGCATGGCAATAACAGAAGCTTTTGGAGGTAAGTAGAACCTTAATATTTTGTTCTATGAAATCTGTATATTTAAATAAATATTCAATAGTAAATTATACCTATTTTGGAACTTATTAAATCTCAATTATTATAATATAGGATCAGTTAGCACTACAATTAAAATATATATCAGCATAAAGAGATGAGTCTTACTGGCATTTTTCATCTTTTTATCTCTGAATCCTATAGAAGAGAATAATTTTTTTTTTCTCTCATTCCTTCAGTAGGTAATTGAACAATGAGGCTGATCATCTTATTTCTAGGAAGTTCATGTCCCATGAATGCAGAGTAGGCTCTCTTTTCCCTGATTAATAGTATCTATACATTCTTCTGAGATTTCCATATGGACAATCACATCACTAGCAAATAATGACTGTTTTGTTTATTCCTCTCTAATATTTATGCCTTTAATTTTTGTTCTTTCTTTCTCTGTTTCTATCTTAACCTACCAACACCAACACCCTGCCACTACCACTCTCATCTCTTTTTTCTTACTAGGATGACTAGGCCTCCAATACTGAAAATGACCACCCTTGCTCCCTTCTAATTTTAAAGGGAATGCTTTCAATAGTATCCTATTAGAATGATGATGGGGTAGGCTTTCTGTAGATAACCTTTATCATATTAAGGAAGTTCCCTTCTGTACTTGCTTTGTTAAGAGCTTTAATCATGAATGAGTGGTGAATTCTATTAAATGTTTTTCAGTCTTTATTGAGATGATCACTTGGGGTCTCTCCTTTATTTTATTACTGTGTTGAATAACATTCATATATTTTAAAATGTTAAACCATTTCTGGAATAAACTCAATTTTGTCATGATTTGTTATCGGTAGTATCTATTTTCATACATTTTAGATTGGTATTGCTAATATTCTGTTTGGCAATTTTAGATCCATGTTCACAAATGAGATTGGCTTATAATTTTTCTTATACTGTTCTTATCTGGTTTAGGTATCAGAATATAGTGGCCTCATAGGGATGGGCAGTAGTCCTTTTTTCTGTGTTGGGCAAGAATTTGTATAAGTTTGATTAACTGTTTTGAAAGTTTAGTATAACTGAAAAAAAAATTGAGCCTTGTGTTTTCTTCGTGGGAAGAGTTTCATAAGAAAGGCTATTTTAGTTAAAAGACTATTCAGCCTTTCTATTTCTTCTCATATCAGTTTTGTTAGGCTTTGTTTTCTTGGAATATGCCTATTTGAAGTTTTCAAATTTATTGGCATACAATTGTTCACTGTATTCTTATTATCTCTCCTTTTAATCTTTGCTGTATGTGAAGTATGTCCCTTTTTTCATTTCTGATATTGTTTATTGTGTACCTTCTTTCCTTTTTTCTTGAGCAGTTAGGGTTTTTCTATTTTATCAGTTCTATCAAAGGAACAATTTTTTACTTTATCAGTCCACTCTATTTTGTGTTGGCTTTCAATTTTATTGATTTCTCCTCTTTATTATTTTTCTTCTACTTTCTTTGGGTTTATTCTAGTCATCTTTTTCTAACTTCTTAAAATGAACACTTAACTCATTAGTTTTCAGCCTTTCTTCTTTTCTAAAACAAGCATGTAAGACCACAAATTTTCGTCAAAGAATTACCTTCACAGAGTCCCACTAATTTTGATATTAGCATTGACATATCATTTAGTTCTAAGTATTTTTAATTCCCATGATGATTTCATCTTTGATCCATGAGTTATTTAGAAGTTTTATTTTATTTCTAAATCTATGGTAATTTTTGATTTATCTTTTTATTACTGATTTCACTCTTGTTTTCATTGGGGTTAGTGATAATGTTCCCTGTGTACTTGAGAAAAATTTGTATGTATTCTCTAATTTTTGGGTGCAGACTTATATATACATATTCATTAGTTTAAGCTCATTAGTTCAATATTTTTAATGATTTTATATTCTTGGCATATCCATAATTGAGAGTATGGCTTTATCAATTTCTCTTTGTCATATTGTCAATTTCTACTTTATGTTTCAAATCTCTTTCGTTTGATGAATTCAACTTCAGAATTCTAAGTTCTAAGAATAAACTGAGCTGCTTCTTTTTTTCTTAATCATACATTAGCCCTCCTATATGTGGCATAGTGCCTAAGGCATTTGACTGCTAACCAGAAGTCTGGTGGTTCAAACCCACCAGCCACTCCTCGAAAGGAAGATTGGACAATCTACTTCCATAGAGATACCACCTCAGAAACCCAAGGAGGGGTTAAGTTTGTGTGTCAGCTTGGCTAGGCCTAGTTGAGTGGCTGGGCAGCTGGATGTAGTATTCCCCATGATGAGACTGGTAATCAACTCCATGGTGGAATCTACTGTGAGCAGCTGAGTACCTGCCCTAGGGATGTGGTCTGCTTTCTGTATATAAGGAGAAGCCTTAGGAAACAGTCTCTAGCTTATGGCATGCTTGAACCCTGCATGTAGCTGTATTGTTCAGCAGCCTGCCATGCTCTGCCGATCCTGGGACTTTCAATGGACTTGAATCAATGGCCTGCCGTGTTGTTTGGTAACATCGGGACTGTGCCATTTTATTTGTTGACCTTGGGCTTGTTAGCCTCAGCAGCCAGTAGCTGCCTGAATGAAGAGATGCTTCTAGTTTCAGTGGGCCAGGAGCAGGAGGCAGAGCTGAAGCCCACGGTTGAGGGGCTTTCACACAGGCCCTGGAGCCTGGCACTTTGAACTTGGGCTTCTAGCCTCCCGAACTGTAAGAGAATAAACTGTTTGTTCATACCATCCCATTTGTGGTATATTCTTGTCAGAGTGGCACTAGGTAACCAGAACAGAGGGGTCACTATGAGTTGGATCCAACTTGATGGCAGTGAGTTTGTTTTTTTGTTAGTATACCTAATGAAGCTTTTGTATTAAAGACTATTTTGTCTGAGAATAATATATGATGCCAGCTGTAAGTTAATATTTGCCTAGTATATCTTCTTCTATGCTTTGTCTTTCAGACTATCCATATTCATATGCTATAGCTGTGTCTCTTGTAAACAGCCCACATTGTTGTTGTGTACCATTGAGTGGATTTTCAATTCAGATATTTTAATCTGATAATCTGTCTTTCAGTTGATGAATGTAAACTGTTTATATTTATCATTATTAATATATTTGTACTTTTCTGCTCTCTTACTTGTTTATTTTTATTTGTCCTATTGTGCTTTTTACCCTTTTCTTGGATTGAGTTTTTTTGTTTTGTTTTTGTTGTTTGTTTCTTTAAATATAATAATTTTTATTCCTTTTTCCCCTCTCTTATTTCAAATATATAATTTCTATTTTTCTTTTTGGGAGCTCTGGTGGCGTAGTGCCTAAGGCATTTGACTGCTAACCAGAAGGCTGGAGGTTCAAACCCACCTGCCACTCCTCAGAGGGAGGGTTGGGCAATCTACTTCCATAGTGATATACTGCCTCGGAAACCCAAGGAGGGGTCGCTATGTGTCAGGTCCGACTCCACAGCAGTGAGTTTTATTTTTCTTTTTAGTGCTCACTCTTGGAATTTTACCATACATATTTTAACAACTTTATTGAAATATAACTTAGATCCATAAAATTTATCCTTTCAAGGTGTACCATTCAGTGGGTTTTAGTATGTTTAGAGTTGTGCTACCATCATGACAAATTTCAGAACATTCTCATCACCCAGAAGAGATATCACATCCACATTAGCAGTCAGTCACCCCCTTTCCTCCTGATCTCTCCCCAGAGCTTGGAAACCACTTATCAACTTTCTGTTTCTAAAGATTTGCCTCTTCTGAAAATTTCGTACAAATAGAATCATACAAAATGTGGTCTCTTGTGACTGATTTCTTTCACTTAGTAAACATTTGCAAGATTCATCATGTTGTAGCGTATACAACAATACATATGTAAAGTCCAAAGTTAAATAATATCTTAAACTCTCTTTTAAATAATATAAAGAATTTAGAACACTGCCCTCCAGATTTACATAATGTTGTTGTTGTTGTTGTTAAGTGCCGTCGAGTCGTTTCCGACTCATAGCAACCCCATGCACAGCAGAACGAAACACTGCCCGATCCCGCGCCAGCCCCACAATCCCTGCTATACTTGAGCCCATCATCGCAGCCACCGTATCAAT